CCCTACCCCTCTGTTTTATATCCCCTATCCCCACGTTTACTGCCCCAAAACCCTACCCCTCACGGGGGCACATTCCTTTATAGCCCATATATGGGCTTACTACCCCCCCCCCCCCCTCTTCTCTCCCAACAAACGCCGTTTGTGGGGTGGGACGAAATACGAGCAACCCTAAAAACGCCTGCATCGGAGGCTAGCTGGGATTGAGAACTAGGCGGATTTTAAGACGTCTTAGAGATAAGACGGACTACAAGCAGTCTAGACAGTAGGAAAATTTAGCAAAGGCGTTTTGAGCCACTCACGTCGACCGTAAGTAAGGTCTTTTCGCTTTTGATATGCCTTGACGCTACTAAATTTGTACCGCAAAGTGTCTTTACTCTTATATAGACGATTTGCCCGATAATTTGGGCGAAAGCATAACCCAAGAATGCAAGAAGTCCACTCATTTCCGGTTGACGTGCATCGCTCAGAAACGTCTTTGCTTCACCTCTTTGGTATTTAAAAACGAAGAAAACAACAGGTCAACACTAACCATTTAACAATGGTTTGCAATCACTTTATTTTTTTTATCTTACATCTGATGACAGAATCCAGCCTGTAAACGGGAACACTCTAACTCGGTATCGAGTCTTATTTTATCCTTGAGTTTTTAAAATTAACTCTTTTACACATATTAAACATAAGCAGAAATCCAAAAAGTACTAAACTTCCTCTTTATTATAACGCTGTCTGCATCGCCTACTTGATTGAATTTAAATGTGAATTAAATCACTACTTCTAAAAAGTAGGTTTTAATCGGTTGGTTTCTTTAAAAAATAGAAAGGAAAAGAAAATATAGGACAAAGAATAATGAAAGCAACAAGGAGGATTTTTCTGCAGGTCCCTCGTTCACTTAAATCTGTTTAAATTGCATGATCTGTAGAACGTTTTCCAGTTATTACATAATTTTCTGTAAAAGTTGGCGCGAGGCAAAAGTGGTCATACAAAACCACATAGATATATTCAATTTCTGCTACAGTGCTATATAATACTGCAGAAACATCACTTCCCTGTTAACCTATCACTAACGCTACTTTTTGTTTTATCTATACACGTCCTGTTAATTCTTCTTTATACCCTCTGGATATTGGCACAATACTATCAAATTAATGGAAAAAAACATAAAGAGAAACACCAGCGAATTTTTCGTAAAGTGAATAACTGCTATACTCTGTGTGAGCAAGTAAACAAACAGAAGAAAAATCAAAACAAAAAAGAGAAGAAGAAGAAACGCACAAGAAAAAAAGGAATCAAATAATACGGAACCAAATCGCCCAAAAACTATGAATAGCTTCATTAAAAAACTAAACGCTTACGTTTTTCGTGAATTTCAACCACATTTATACCAGGTATATATGATGTATTGCTGTTAGAGTGTTTTGTTTGCCATGAACAGAACAAAAGGGAAAAAATGCTGATTACATCCTCAAGAGGAATATCGACGAAGGAAAAAAAAACCCGCACTGTAAAAAATTCCTGCACCAGGTTAGTTATCTGCGTCTTGTGCCATTTTACATACAAATATTACGCACAAGATCAAATGGGAAGAATAGCTTAACCTCCCGGAAATGTTTCAAGGATTTCTTCAGTTCTTATCTAATATGAGCGGACTGCAGGGGGAACTGTAGCACAGTCTTTCTGATCCAAGGTTTCATCAATAACTGGTCGATAGTTCAATGTGACCTGCGAGGGTAAAATAAATGGGTACAAATGGATCAGTAACAGTTCGATGTGGACAGAGGCACAATCAAAAGGAAAGCTACCCAACACATTCGCACCACCTCCCCTCCCCCCACGAACCGCCAGTAACCACCCGTACTATCCCTCACATCGCTTGTGACGTAATCAGTTTTTAACGGTCAAGGACAAATTTGTCATGTAACTTGTGCAGGAGGGGGCTGGAGGTGTAGAGGGGGAGAGGAGAGATATTAATTTCATACCATACCTGAATGACCACGATTCAGTCAAGGAGGTCAGAGAAACAGACACAAAACCATGTGAAGTTACCCCGAAAATTCCGATGACAATCTCATCGCACGATTCTAAAAGCTTTCCCACAAACCTTTTCCCAAAGAAATGAGGCCTGGTCGCCCTATGTAGCCAGGCCGTGACCAGAAAATGACTCGACTACTTTCAAAACGCGTTTTTCGACATAATTCCCAAGGACGAATAAGCTTAAAAGAAAACGAGTGTTATGCTATACAGGTAAGATTCTTTGGGTGCGTTCCTTTTGGATGATCCAGATCAGGATCTGTGATCTTAAATCACTTGCATCACGGTACATCAAATGAACAGATGAATCCTTTGCCAGCGTGGATTCTTCGGTTCCTTTGATGCGCTATGATCCGACTAATCTCGAATAACTGATCCTGATCCGGATCATCCAAATGAAACGCACCCTTTATATAAGAAAAAAACGTTAAATATTATTATACCTTTCCTGTGTTGTGGTCAGTCCAAACTAATGTGTGTTTTCTCCAGTGCTGGTCAAATGGACGCTTCGTTTGACCATCAAGTGGCTTGGAATAATCATACTCATCAATACGTTCCTGAAAGCGATAACCAGTTTTTTAGCCTCTATTTAATTCAGACCTTTCCTTTATTTTAAAGGACTTTTCATACCTGTTTGCGCGAATTCACTGATTAAAAATTTCACCAGTGACGTTATGACAATTGACCAATAGGAGACTGAGGGTTTTAGCATGACGTAACCTGAGAAGCTTTAGAAAGACGCCCGTATTCGTTTTTTCCCGCGTGAATTAATTTTATAGTATGATTCAAATCCACTCAGGCGAAACAAGTCAACCTCGCGACTTCGTCGCTCGCTTTGTCGCGACCTCATTGAAGCTCGCTTCAAGAAATTATAAGAGGTCGACTTGTAGCAAGGCTAACCTTTTGTAAACAGGTTGGATGATTTGGTGTCGGATCTAGGCAGGTTTACACGGGATGATGTGCCGGTCCCAGTTTGAATCGAATTGCAAAAAAGAAAAAAAAAACAGACGCAAACCCGAAAGACATGTCGCCTCTGAGTACTCTCTCCATTTTGTGTAGCGAGCAAAGCGAGCCGCTGGAGAACACGCGAGCTCATGGCAAAGCATCTCCTTCCGACTGCCGTTCGCGCGTGGCTTCTCCCCACATCCCTTAAACGGAGAGCTTGCTCACAGGCTGACATGAAAAAAAAAAGGAGACTTAAGCGTACCTTGAAATCCTCGCGAGCATGCGCACCGCGGCTTTCCTTGCGGGCCTCAGCGCTGTACATAGTCTGCTTGCAGTTGATAAGAAGGTTCTGCAGTTCAAGCGCCTCCACTAGATCTGAATTCCAAACCATGCCTCGATCATACAGCTGCAAGGAAACGAAGAAATTTAACCCGTGACAAGACTAACAATTCCTTTTAAACGAATATTGTGTAGTAATGCGCAGAAGACATCGCTTCCCCAGGTATCCCCACTGAGTGGAAGCGACAGCTATACAATAATTGCCAATAACTGATTGCCTACGTGGCAGGCTCAAAGAAAATAAGAGGAGGCAATCCCTTTCTTTTTCCTTCCATCCCGTTCCCCTTTCGACGCAGACAACCCACGCTAATCAAGTGAGTAAAACTGGAGTACCTTAAGATCCTCAGTTTGATTGTAAATGTCATCAATTTTCTTGCAACCTTCACTTAGCACTGAACCGGTTCTGAACACAGCAGCGTGCTCTTGCATGGTCTGAAAACAACAAACAATAAAGTGATCTAACGCCAAGGCTATCATTCAGATTTCAAGTTGTCGGAAATGGGCAATTGGCACACGAGGAATACGCCACTTACGCATTTCCCCTAATGCACATTATCTGCCCCCCTCCCCCCCCCCAAAAGATTGCATCACCTTTGCTATTCATTTCTCCTGGGTATTATAGCTGTCCCAAGATAAATTGAAAACAATGCTTATACCAAATTTGGGGGGGGGGGAAATAAGGTGCATTATGTGGAGAATAGGCTCTTTTCGAGTTCCCCCGGGCCTCTGTATCAAAACGAGGTTAAGTGTTCAGCCTTTGATATGGAATTGATTTTCATCCTCATGCAATGAAAAATCATTTTAACAATAAAGGTTTTGGACTTGGCCTGATTTTCAGTGAGGGTTTTTGGATCTTGGAAGTGGCCTATTGAGTCACCGCAAAGGTGGCTAACTGAAATCTAGGCAAAGTTAAACATCACACAGTACTGGTCAGTGGTCTCCCCACTAATCCATTGTGGGAAAGTCTTTGAGCATTTACAGGGCCTCAGAATTTATACAGTCCTTTTGCTGAGGTCAAATCATTTTCCTCATATTGCAGTTCATGTACAATCGTTTAAGCTGTTTTGCTCCCATCCCTTCCTCCCTCAGGATAAGTCTTGGCAAGTATCTATGAAACTTTCTGCTGAGGTCCTCAATGTAATGGCACCTGGTGGTTGCCGCTCACAGGGTTGTCATGGTTATATTCAGCACTACCTTAAAGCTCCCTTACTTTGTTCAGGCGACCTCTCTACACCTATCTATTGGCGACATCACAATACAAACCATTAACAACTCAAATAACAATCAGTATTTCACTTTTTACCTTCTGCATATTGAGCCTCAACTCTGAAGTCATAGTACCACCATTTGCATAACGGATTTTGTCTAAATTGGACACTGATTCTTCACCCGCATTCTAAAAGAAATAAACAACAATAAATAATCATGACTCGCTCACCACAGGCTCAGTTTTTAATGCCCTGCTGCAGTGTTATCTAAGCTGACTTGATAGGTTTTTGTAACACTTGAGAAGTACATACTCCTCTGTCACCTCTCTTGATATGCTCTCTATAATCCTAGTACAGACCTTCAGATTCAAAGATGAATACGACTACAAGGACGAGATTATTAACTTAAAAGTTTTTTGCATAATGCTGNCCCTCAGGATAAGTCTTGGCGAGTATCTACGAGACTTTCTGCTGAGGTTGTCAATGTAATGGCACCTGGTGGTTGCCGCTCAAAGGGTTGTCATGGTTACATTCAGCACTCCCTTAAAGCTCCCTTACTTTGTTCAGGGGACCTCTCTACACCTATCTGTTGGCGACATCACAATACAAATTATTGACGACTTACATAACAATCAGTATTTAACTTTTTACCTTCTGCATATTGAGCCTCAACTCTGAAGTCATAGTACCACCATTTGCATAACGGATTTTGTCTAAATTGGACACTGATTCTTCACCCGCATTCTAAAAGAAATAAACAAAAATAAATAATCATGACTCGCTCACCACAGGCTCAGTTTTTAATGCCCTGCTGCAGTGTTATCTAAGCTGACTTGATAGGTTTTTGTAACACGTGAGAAGTACATACTCCTCTGTCACCTCTCTTGATATGCTCTCTATAATCCTAGTACAGACCTTCAGATTCAAAGATGAATACGACTACAAGGACGAGATTATTAACTTAAAAGTTTTTTGCATAATGCTGTCAACAAAATATTCACCCCCACAAGCTTTATTGTTCTTTTTTTCGCCAAAAATGTTAGCATGCTTATGTTTATTGAAGTAAGTTAAGCCCTCTCCCGATCACAAAATGATAAACTTTTGACATTACATGTATTTCATAACTTGATTACGTCTCTGCGACATTTCGTTTAAGCCCGTATTAGAATGATGACAGCTACCACATTTTCCCACCAAAATGACGCTAATCTCCGCCGTGCCCTATACCGAGTACTAATAAAATCTCATACTTGAAGTGGTCCTCCTCTTAGAATCTACAGCTCTCTATTATTGACTTACAATGCACTCGACTACTTTTCTTCCCCTCCCCTCAGTAAGAAGGGAGGGGAGGGTAAGGTGAACCGTTTGAACACTCCTAGGAAACAAAGAATAGCTGCACAGCTATTGAGGGGGAGGGGGCATCTTTGTCTTTTCTTCCTTTATGAGTATTTTTCTTTCTTTTTTCTTTCAAAATTGCTATCGGATACTGCACTACTACTAGTGTGTTTAAGTACTTACTGCAGGGAGATCAGGAAGTGCTTCAGAAGGTTTGTGGAACTTTGTAATGAAGTTAGCACATGCTCTTCCAAACACCACCAAGTCCAGCAGAGAGTTCGCTCCAAGTCTGTTGGCTCCATGAACTGATGCGCATGCAGACTCCCCGGCTGCCCACAATCCTGGCACTACTTCATCTTTGCCATCTTTGACTGACAGTGCCTGTAAGACAGGCAAAATAATTCTCATACCCTGAAACATGGTCATGTCATTTATAGGGATGTCCTTTTTGAAAAGGGGAGGTGAGGGCCAAGTCTAACTTTTCCTTAGTCCCATCTTGGAACACGTAAAACGTTTGAGGAGTGTGGTGGAAGTGTGTTTTGAATTTGCCTTTAACCTGATTGGGATTCAGGTAATACTAAATTTTTTTAAAAGGGCCATCCTAGTACATAGCTGGGGACCCAGGGTTTTGACACTGCCTTGCAGATGGACTTAACCAGACGTTTACTTTTGTCTGTGGCACACACTAATGATGTCTGCCACTAGTACGGTACAGTAGTTTATGAATTTAAGTCCCAACAGTGCATAACATCAATTTTATTTCCTCCTAACAATAATTATGTCAATAGATAATCAACATAAGAGGTTGTGAGAATTATAAATAAGATCACCAAAGAAACAATGCTTTGACCTTTTGTCAAATTCTCTCAACAAATGTTTCAAGGAAATGCAGGGAGGTCAGTTTGGAGAATTTGTATCTGGATTTTTGGGACTTAAAGGATTAATACAATACCTGTCCCATGTAGTTTGTAGGAATACCCCCCATGTTGTAATGCACTGTGGGTATCACAGGTATAGGGTCTCGGGTTACATCTACGCCAGCAAAGATCATGGCTGTTTCAGAGATGCCAGGAAGACGTGTCTTGAGAGTCTCTGCCGGCAGATGTGAGAGCTGCAGGTACACATGATCCTTATCAGGACCAACTCCCCTAAAATAGATTTAAAAAAGATCTTATATTCATTGAAAATTGCCTAAACAGCCTTTTTGTGATAACAACTACATGTATACTAGAGGGAAACAAATAGATACATACATACCAACATCATTGTCTAGAAAATAACAGGTTACCACACTTACAGCCTACAGACAGGCCACCTACAACATTATTATTCTAATTTTTTGTGGCAGTTTTGGTCAGAATCAAGGCTTTGTTCAAGCAGCTTCTAGCACATTACCTATGTTCTAGGTAATAAGAAATCTTACATTACCTTACTCTTTTTTCATGACACAAGTAAACATGAGTAAATCCTTTAGTATTCTTAGATATTCAAGATGGAAAGAAATACTAACCTTCCCTCCCTGATTTCAATTGTCATCGATCGTGACACAACATCTCTGGAAGCAAGATCTTTGGCTGTTGGTGCATATCTCTCCAT